CTTTGCAATCGCGGCCACAAACAAAACGTTTTAGATTCACATTTGATAAAAGAGTTGTTACCTCTAACTACTGGACTGTACCTTTCGGTTTTCGGCATATATAAAATCAGCTTAATGCAAACAAAGAAACACTATTAAAAATGTATCAGAAATTTAATTTTTGCTCCGTTTTAATTCATCCATTTAACTTAGTGTGCAGTTGCCAGAGTCAAGGCGGTAAGAGTTATTGGATAGCTCGTTTGTTAGAACTACGAAGAATCAGTCCCTTCCCGGAAAAGATTTTTTTTATTTATTCGTACTATTCAACAATTTTCAAACAGATAAAACAGCAAAATAAAAACGTTGTTTTTATACAAAATATGCCAGACAACATAGCTGATGAGTCTTTTACGGATAAATGTAAACCATCATTAATTATACTGGACGATCAAATGCAAAATATAAACAAGGACGTTGTTTCGCTATTTACTCGCGGGACTCATCATCTTAACCGATCTGTCATACTAACAGTACAAAATGTGTTTTTTCAAAACCCATCTATGCGTACAATCTCGCTAAATGCCCATTATTTAGTGCTGTGGAAACAGCCCCGAGACATGCTGCAAATAGAAGCGCTCGCTAGACAAATGTACCCGCGCAGCACTGGCGCATTTATGGAAGCATATAAAAGCGCAACAAGTCCCGACTATGGATACTTGTTTTTGGATTTTAAAGCATGTACCCCAAACAGTCTGCGTATACGCGCCTGCTTATTAAATGAGAGAGCTGATGACTTCCAACGTGTTTTTGTTATTTCCTGCCTAGGAATGGAGGAGTTTGCTCTGGTTCCGCTAAAGAAATTACCATCGCTACCAAAGACCTCACAGAGAAAACAAAATCGCGTTTCGCAAAACAAAGGCAGCAAAAAAAAGGCGGTGAAACGCAGGCGAGCGCCGCGGCTAGGTCGGCGATAGTCAAGGTCATCATAAAACATATTTTCTTTGTTTAGTTAATTTTATTTTCTCTAGCTCTATTTCGTTCAAAAAATGAAATATTTATTGTTGTGATAGTTTTATTGTTTTTTCGTTTAACTAAGTGCTAAAGATAATGATTCAGCTTCGTTTGCATGCTTATGTATATAATTAAGTTACGTATGGTCGAAATCATAAATGCATATGGTCTTCATATAAGCATTCAAAATTTTAGCTGGCCATTGTAACCAATTAGTTTAAAGATGTTTTGCTTTAAAAAAATATTTAACCTTTGTAACGTGGAGTTGGTCATTAAACGTAATATGCATCATAGCGACGTAAACTTTAATTCAAGTGAGTATAAATAAAACAGTTACATTAGTTTAACGGCAGAAAAAAATTCAGCTACACAAAATGCAAACGTTTTTTCGAGGCGTGGGGTATTTGTTTCAAGTGCTATCGATTTCACCATCTTCGTATTCTTTGCTTGGGTCACAGCGGTCTGGCGTAGATGGTTCCCGTAAAAATTTGCCATCGTTTTTTCGTTTCCTTAGGGTCATTTTTGACCCCGCACTCTGCTTTTTTACAACATGGAAATCTTTTTGAGAATTCGAAGCAGCATTCTTTGTTCGTCTAGATGATGAGTTATCTTGTATCCATTTTTGTGTGCGCTCGTTCAGAATTTGCAGTCCTTCTATCAATTCTGGGAGGTAGTCCGGTTGTAAATAGAATCCTTTTTTAGTGGCGAGAAAATCCGCGTTCGATGACTCTTGAAATAATAGACGAAGGTCGACGCGGGGAAAATCTTTGTTAAAGGTACTAAGGCTCAGCATTATTTTTGCAGGTTTGTGCTAAAATCAAAATAATTTTTAACACCTTTTATAATTAACGTGGAATAGTGGAAGAAGTTGGAAAGTGGTGCGCATCAGTAACATTATACACTATATCACCCAACTCATCCCCCTTTTCAGATGCTCTAATTACAGCAGGTAAAAGATTCAGACATGCATTTAGCGAACCGTTTTTAGTGATTAAGTTTTTAAGATCAAAGTTAGAAGCATTAAAATTGTTTACAGTTACATAAAACTCTCGACTACGATAACTTGTTGCAAGTATTATTAATAAAATGGCAGCTTGAAGGAATAAAATAGCTGACGTTATTATAACATTACTGTGCGTTCGCAAATACAACAAAATCATCTGCCTGAAAGTCATTTCTAAAGCTCTCCAAATGAAATTTCAGCAATGCGGGACATTTATTAAATACTCACCACAACAATGAAGGGAGCTGATCGTAATAGCTTTTCATATTCAGTGCCTGTTGCGTTGGATTCAGTCAACCAGATTAAATTTCGCGACATTTCTGCACGACGCTTTTCGAATTAGTTCTCTGTTCTATTTGTTTCTAACCGTTTTATTTTATCGATTCCTCCTTACCCTTAACGACCGTGGGAAAACACAAGATTATCAGATCTGGACTTTGTTTCGAAATTCATAAGTGGAGCTATAAAAGCAGCGGTAAACTATTACGCTGATACCAGTTGTTCTTGTTTATGATATTAAAAAATGTCAACAACTTTACCATACGTAGATCGATTTCAAAGCGATATTCCTTCTTTTCGCCTTTTATGGGAAAACTTACATAGTAACTCCGATATCCTGCTGGCTGATGATGGATTCTTCCCTGTTAATTTGCATGACGCTTTTTTCTGCCGTTACTGCTATAAGATCGATAACTCTCTATCTTCAAGAACATCACCGTTAACTTATCATCTTAAAGAGAACCCTGACTGTGCTACTTTGCGATTGCAGGCTGTAAAGAAGGAATTCTCGACTCTACCTTTATCATTTTCAATCGAGCCAAAATTCCCAAAACTTTCGTCAAGTGTTACGCGGCGAGCAACGTTTTTGCATTGGCCCCAGCAGGCTGTCCAAACTCCCGATCAGCTGTCGTCCGCTGGTTTTTATTATACAGGTCAGAATGACAGCGTTGCGTGTTTCTTTTGCGGAATTACTATTAATCGTTGGAAAGTCGGTGATGAGCCAACCTTGGAGCATATAAAGTGGTCTCCCAGCTGCCTTTTTGCTATATCACAGCTTTCTGACTGGAGACAGCACGGCTCCGAGCATCTGAACTACGTTGGCGATGAGAAAGAAAATAAAAACTGCAAATCCGATGCATGCTGTCCATCGCTGAAAAATCCAGCCTCTGCATACGAGTTTTCTATTGCGAAACCTTCATTACCTACCGAGCCGATATCATCGACCATTTCAAACAACTGCGGGTGTGTTGAAGAAACGAAAGCAATGTCAACAGAAAATGACGTTTTGATCAAAAAAGCTGTCAAAAGAGGCTATTCAAAAGAAATTATTTCATCAGCCTTGCAGCTCCACGAAGCAATGGACCGTGCGCCAAAGCTTGATTTCTACGAATTATTAAACCTGATCGAGTATGTTGCTTACATGGAGGAAGGGTCGGACGTTGAAAGAAAATATCTGCGATGTTGGTGTCCACGCTGTGGTACGATGAGTTCCCACCAATCACATGCGTTAGATCGCATTTTGAGGGACGGATCACACTGGGTTTTAATCACCGTTCAAAAGCGCGGGTGCACTCCAGCTATTGAATTTTATGAGTGCTGTAATTGCGAATTAAAATCTGTTTTATGATATTTGTTCAAAATCCCTTAACGCTATATTCTAAAATACACTTTTTGATATCCTTATAACGTACGATTATTCGTGGTGTTGCTGTGCTGGTATTAAATTCTTACCTTATCTTTGTGTTACTGATTTTTAATGCATACTGAGGATGAATTTATTTCATCTTTGTCATTGCACGCTTCTTGTTAGTTTGTCCTTGCTTCGTAAAATCTTTAAGCTAGAATGATAAAAATGCCTTTTTCGGTCCATGTTGTGCCGCTGTATATTTCACCTGTGGTCAGTTACGCTTACACGCAAGGTCATTGCTTATAGTCACTCGTACGTGCCAACCTATGGTTGGTTACACTATGATCATGGACCTATAGTCAACGGCGCGCAACAATCCATGGTCAGTCACATTAATACAGTTGATCATAGAATAAGGTTAGTCGCATGGAACAACCTATGGTCAGTCATGCAGTAAGTATGGTCATGGCCTATAATCGATCGCATGGCACAGCCTATGGTCAGTTACAGTAATACGTATGGTCACCAGCTATAGTCATTTGCCCGTCACAATAGGGTAGACAGGGAGTGACCCTACTTAGCGCTATACAGAATCTAGTACTCCGTACTTAAAAATAAATTAAGATTCCGTACGTCTACCAATAAGGTGACTGTAGGACAACGTATGGTCAGTGCCTGTTTGACCGTATGGTTATGCATTACGCGTATGGCTGCATTTTTTCAATCGTCACCCGCCTGCGCATGTCGGGGGGTGGGGGGGCGTCGTTCGCCAAAACAGCGCTCTCTTCATCATATAAATACTCGCCTCGCAAGTCGTAGTAACCTCTCTGGCGTCGAATAGAACTGACCATACCATCACGTATTAAATACGAAGAATCTATTTCCTGTCTCGTTAACAAGAAGGTACAAATTCGTATAATCATTCAGTATACTGATTCATACAACACGATGAAATAGAACGTAACCAATTATCTGCACTATACTACCATACTACCAGGTATTAATTTTTTAACCTAAAATTTAATAGGCCGGAAGCGTGCAGCATAGCATACGTTATTTAATACATCTAGTGGCACACTGTAACTCTGTGGCACATTTTAAGTCAAAAATACTACAGTAAACAATGATTTGTAGTCTTGTCAAAGCCCAACTCTGCCGGTTTTTGCCGTGAATAAAAAAATATATGCCTGTTGTGATGCCCTGAATATATCTACATATTTACGATCGTAGTATATTCTAACTATCAATGAAATTGCTGCTCATTTTGTAGCGAATCCCTTTGGGAAATATGATGCTTAATGATATTACAATCCATCACTTAAACACGTGTTCATCATAATATTACTGCACATATGCAGAGTTACTACTGCTTACACTTACTTTTGGAAATCAGGGTGATAACGGCATTGACAGCAGTAGCGGCCACATTGATCCGTCCAATAATCAGGAATAATTTGGTTAGCGTAAATTTACCGAGAGAAAGCGAAGCTTTCGAGGCAGGCATACAGGCAGTGACGGATATCACAATAAACGTCGAATGCTCGAGTAAAACAACGGCAGACTCACAAAACTGTCTCGGCTGTGCAAATGCGCGTGTTGCGATCCGCAATCAAATCCGAGTGATCCTGCGCCGATTGTGTGTTGGTTGTCCAACGTGCTTATATATGACATCGAAAGGCGCTCGACTGTGTACACCGGTTGGTACCAGCACCGTGTTGTTCAAACAGTATTTACGCTTGTAAAAGTACAATGCCGTGTAACTGTGCTCCGCTTCGATTATGAGTCACCCGAAATTAAAGTAGAGACACCATAAGCTGCCGGTGCTATTGACATCATTGTGACCATGGGCCATTGGATGCGAGTTAAGGCATCGACAATTGCTTGAGTTAACGAGCGAGAATTTACTCGGGCATGATGTCATGCGACACGATCATATTACAAAAATGGCGGTGATGCGGTGTGATTATACCTTTGCATTGATGATTTACGAGCGCTTATGGAAATGTGTAAATGCCGACTATGCCGTTACAGTGAACTGTTATGACATCATCAGCAATGTTGCCCTGCACTCTTGCCGTGCTTGTCCTCTTGCAACTGAACTGCGCTACGCAATCAGTTGGCAAATAAATCACTAAATACATCTGAATAAAGAGCCAGAAAAAGAATTCCGGAACTTTTCGGTAATAATGCAGTGTGTTCTGTCGAAATCTGCCGTGCCAGATTAGGGCAGCTACATCAAATAAAACGAATATCCATTTTGTACGCAATTTCTTTTTACTTCTTCACTTCACCAGTCACTACTGTACTAGTGCAACGCTGTATGGCAATTTCAGAAAGGTTGAAAATTTCAATCTTTTGATACGTTAATGAGTAGCCAGGCGCTTATTAATTAAGGCGGCAGGGTGGTTGTTCTTTCTAGGGCGCGTATAAAATTAAATATAGGGACGTATAGACTTTTAGACTTTTACCGTATCGACGAAGGTTAGCAGCTCAAACAGTTTTTATAAAACATTCATACATATTTATTTGTTGTCGAGTGAGTTACAGAAGACCAACCAGTCTTTGAGCAAACTACGATTATCCTATCGTGCCTATTCTTTTGGTAATGGTATTTATTTTTTGTGAACTGGTCTAGAAAATGTTGATTGTAATCAGTTTGGTGGTTTTGTTCAGTTCAAATGCAGGTTAGCACAGGGCCCTTCTCACAATTAATTTGAGGTTGGACTGTGTCAACAGACCAATTTATTTTACTTGTAATAGTAATTATTGGTAGTATTTGTTATTTATTTTCCTTGTAATTTTGTTTGTACTTTAATAGTATGCAGTCATCTAATTTTTATTTGTTGACACTATTAATAGAAGAATTCTCCGCATAGCACGTAACTGTGACATGAGACTAGATTTTTCCGCGTTGTAGAAATAGAGATTTTTTTAAACTTACACAAAGCTCTATCATTCAAACCGCATTGGCCGGCTGTAAAACTATTGGAAAGTAATTAGTAAAATTAGGCAAGCTATACAAAGCAAGTTTTCTGACCAACCACAGGTTCTAACAGCTAAACTTCAAAATTACGCAGGCTGTTACGGTCTTTATTGACTCAAATTATTAATTTTATTTTATTTGACTGTCACTTCATAAGAGTGGCCTTGGGAAAGAGTAAACGGAGTTTCTACATAGCTTGCAGTCACCAGACTTCGCCAAACCAAAAAGGACTTAGAATCAGATTTAAATACAGTATATAAAAGGTATACGAGTATATTTGGTGTAGCTCAACGAGTAACCACAGCCACCTTGCCCTCGGCTGCCCATTTCTGTTGTAGTGATTCCGGTGCCTCGGGCGGTGGCGGTCGCGGCAGGCGGAAGTACACCTTCACCGCGTCGTAGATGAACCACTGCAGTGCCGTTAGGGTACCGATCATGACAATCCGCGGCTCCAGACCCTTCCAGACCCCGGCCCATCCCAGACTCCTTGCGATATCCGTGGCGGTGCTTCCCTTCTGTTGGTTTAGCTTAGACACCACCGTGTCGGCCGGATGCGAGACAATGGCACAGAAGATCCCCGCGATATAACCCGCCGCGAACGTCACCGTCAGCTGCTCGCTTTTAGTGCACTGTGATCTTGGCTTGGGTACGACGTACTTGTACAATAATTCCACGGTACGCTCAAAGCAGGCAAACTTCATCATGGTATACGGCAACTGCCGCATCCACAGGGGACCCAATCCTTTATAGAACCCTCGGAGTCCTTCTTCCCGAAGGATTCTGGGAGCGCCATCTCGCAGTGTCGTAGACCATCCAGGTTGTGTCTGGATGCGCACTTTAACCGCTTCCATGGGAGCTAAAGCGATATCCGCAAAGAACTCCGCCGACGCCGATGCGGCGAGGTATAACGCCGTACGATATTGGTACGTCGCTTCCTCGCCCAGCAGGTTGCTGTAGTACACCTTGAAGACTTCGTATAATCCGTATTTGCATAGTCCCTGAGCAGAGTACCCGATGAGTGTCGGCGCCCATCCCCGCGCCAAACCTCGCACACCGTCTTCTTTAACCGTCACGGAGAAGCCGGAGAAAATTCCCGAATATTTTCCCGGGTCGACTTGAATGCGGCACTTGACGACATCCAATGGAACCATGGCTCTGTGCGTTAGACCACAGGCTAACGTACCACCGAGGCCGCATAAGGCGTAGAATTCGGGTGTGGCGAATTCTACTTCGGAGTCCGCTTTTCCATGGCTTGGCGTCGTACTAAAAATTCTGGCTTGATGATCTTCACAACGAGCGAATTTATTGCAGATCAAGAAATTTCCGTTCCCAGCGTGATGTCCAGCAGCACGGCGCTGCGTTAGTAAATCCATCATTCCTGATTTATTACACAGAGGTTTTACTTGCTGTAGTCCTTCTATAATCGCGTTTAGACTGTGCAAATAATACTACGTTTGCAGATTGCAGATAAAGTAACTGTAGTCGGCGTGCTAATGGGCAGTGATGCAATTACTCATTTTCCCTACCGACATCATAATTGCTGTATATCTCATTTGGCAAATCTGTTGTCCATATAGAAAGAGAGCAGATATGAAAACGATTAGCAATATTAGTCACGACTCACGCGTAAGCTCGCAAAAACAGTCCATGTTCATCTCGATGAATACGACCGACATACGTATACATAAAACTAAGTAATCTCGCAAAACATTAAGCTTCTGGCTCGTGCTATAGGAAAAGGGTACTAAAGAATATTAACTCCTTGTTGTTAAAACATATATTTACGTTGCACCAAGTGAAATGACGCTTGCACTTAAAGCAAAACAATCACTGGTGTACACTGTACAGTCACTTCTCACAGGACGTTAGTTACAGCTATACACTGTATTTGTTGCTGCAAATACCCTATTAGGAGCAAGCACGCAGTAATCAATAAGTTTGCATCAGCCGCGCTGATGTCAGCGCACTCTAGCGGGAAGAAATTGCTTTATGTCGTGATTGTGTGCAATAGCGCACACTTGGATCTGCGCCTTCTACTGCTTAGGACAAAATGGTCGCATACCCAACATCTCCACATTCAGTACGAATGCAGCGCAGTGCACTGTACGACTGAGTTCAAAATATCCGTTTCGTACAAGTGCACTGCACCGCTTGCGTACAGAATGCTGGGTATGGGGCTATGCGACCATTTAGTCCTACATTGTATGTTACATGTTACACCATGGTAGTACTAAATAAATCTCTTTAGTACCGCCATGGTTACACGTATCCATACCTGTAGGCCCTGCACGCGTATGCTCCAGGTTTTTTTCGCTGCGGAAAATTTGTGCAACATTAATCAACGCTTTTAGTTTATGACTTCATGCACAAAGGAGTAGATAAAATTGAGCTGTCCCCGCATCTGTACCGAAAAAATATTCAGAAAGATTCTGTACTGTATCAGAGAAAGTACAGGACACATCGGAAGAAAACTACGGCAGCTTGACGTCTCGAAAAATATCCGTCTTCGCCGAATACTCCGCCGCCGTAATCCGCCTTTGGTTATCATCGAAAGTGTTTCCACTATATTTGTGACCTTTAGTTAGTTTGCTAAGCAGCTAACAGCTGAACGTATTATAAGTTTTATTGCAATCGTTTTTGTCTCCGTTATGACAATAATTTCCAATCTGCATACAGAGGTAAAGCAGAAGGGCAGCAAAGGGCAGAAGCAAAGCGGAAAAGCACAAACGGGAAGACCAAAATAATCGTGATTGAGACCTACGCGGCTTTTGCTAAACACAACTGCATAACATAAAACAACATATAACATAATGTTATAACAATATCAAGAAAATTATCAAAACTTAACCTTTCTTTGTTTAATTTTGTGCACCAGTATCTTCATAACGTGGCATTTGAACATGTACAGTCTGTGGAACAAGTAAACTGCCCGCTAGTTGATCATAGTTATCGTACAATTACAATACAGCCACTGAAAGCGTTTGGAATCAAGTAAGGTGCCACCAGCTTACGCTAAAAATTAATCAAGTAGTACAAGATGAACATCATGTACAGGGCAAGTGCTCCCTTGTAAGCATGAATCACAACGATCGGCGGCCCGGTTTCGGCTGAACATTCGGCGCACTTTTCAACAGCAGAACCTAGTTCCGTTGAAGGACGGTTATCCAGCGTTTTACCCTTCTCCTCATCCGAATCGGCCGCAATTTTGTTGGATTCTTCCCTAAAGGAAGCCCAACGAGTCCAGAGCACACCGCCAACAATGGATTGGAACAGGAAAAGCAAACCAATCAATCCAAAGAAAACCAGAATAACAGGGCGCATAGACGCTCCCCACGATTGCTCCGCTTTTGCCACGGTGTCCCGAAATGCGTTGAATGTCCCTTCGAAACCATTCCACGCGGCTTCGATTTGGTTATATTCTTCCGAAGTCAGATGAGCCCGTGTTTCGTTCCCCAAGAGGTCATTCCGGGTTTTCGTCATGATGGCAGTCATTTGCAGGGTGGACTCGAAAAGGGAGCGCTGATTTCCGAGTGGGACCATGATCGTGATGGTCCGCAGCACCAGCAGCAGACCAATGCTGGAAAGCAGTGCCAATAGGCAACGTATCACTAGCAAGTCTGTACCATCCATGTGATTGTAGCATTTCCGGCTGCGAAAAGGTAATTTCAACTGGAAATGAACAGCGAGGACGAGCAGAGCGACAGACAGGGACGCAGAGATGGGTGTTCCGGCGAATGCCAGGGCGGACGGGCCATGAACTGCAATGTGCCATAGATATATTACGCGGATGACCTTTTTAACCAAGGAATATTACCAATTATCTATACTGTATTATCCAAATATCTGACACTCAAGATCCAGCTCTGATCAAAATTTACAAGGCTGCAAACGTCTTATATTTGTCAATGGCACACTGTATGTGTGGCCCATTTTAGCCAGCGCACATTTTCCGGGCGTAAAATTCAGAAAAACCTTATATTTTTCAGAAAGATAGTGCACACACAGGAAATGATTAAAGAATTAATGTCAATGCAAACCAAAATTTACCGAATTTTTCTGGTGAATGCAATGGGATCACTATACTTGAAATCATTTTTAAAGGTTCCTTATATGAGCACTATCTTTCTGTAAAATATGATATTATTTTTCTGACGTTACACCGAGAAAATGTAACCTGGTTAGTCAAAATACGACAATAATAATGATTCCGCGTTCTTGTCAAACGCACCTTGCCGTTTTTTCTGTCGTGCAACGATTTAGTTGAAAAAGGAAAAGATATATGCTTGTTTGGTAGTTTGGTTTTGAATCAATGGGAAATACATATAATGTTTACTGTATCTTTGGAAAATATCATTGTCGTAATGAGTAGATAATAATAATTATTTTACATTGGTTAATGTAATGGAAACATAATATATTACAAGTATCGGTCGCGCTAGCGCGCGCGCGACCAGTGGTGTTCGAGGTGTGGAATAATTAAAAAAATACAAAATATACTTCGTACAGCAATAAAAATGATTTTGAGAAATATTTCAAATATGAAACCCCAGCTAGTCCAGCTGCGAAAATATTTTAACATGTAGAAATGCGGACAGTTTTCGAGCTCTCCGGTTAAAGTCGACCAGTGTTATAAAAACTGCGAAAACCTCCGCAATTTTTCTTTTTGTTTGCATTTTTCACGGTTCTTTTTCACGTTTTTAATGTAACTTTATATTGCCGATCTAAAGAAATAAAAACTTGATTTTTTTTGTACGACTGATAATATTTAAACGGTGATTGAATGAATGAAGTGGGATTATTTACACGATGCCCACGAAAACCATTCAGCCGATATTTTAGCGCAGATTAATGGAAACTTGTGAGAAACAATTAACGGTTGCCCAAGGTGACCTGGGAGGCTGCATCTTTAGCTACTAATTATAAGATTTTCAGCCATTCAGTCAAGCTCTTGAGTATTTATAAAAATAAAATAAATACATATTTATAAGATTTTGAGGTTAGTGAATACCCAAGCTACCGCCAATATTACAGAGCCGCTCTGTGAGTGGATACGGTAAACGGGCCGCGGGCTGGTTTTTAGATATTTAGAAATTACATATAAATTAGACAAATTTAGACCGTGAGATATTGAGGTACTCAGTTTTCTAGATATTTTTAAATTTCGAAACTTTGGAGGCTCAAAAGATCAGGGGTAACGGCCCCGCTGCGCGGGGCCGAGTCGAGATATTTAGAAATTCTTAAAATGTAAAAGCTTTTGAGCCGATTTTCGAAAAATTTATAGTTATTTTGAGGCATTCAAACAAATTTAAAAACATCTTAAAGGTTTCAAGAATGAAAAAAAGATAATAAGTTTGATGGGATTGACAATTTTAAATAACTATAGCTTAGGTTGCTTAGTTGCGAAACTTGTATTTGCTCATTCGAGACGTTTCTAGAATTTACTGGAAATTTCTATGAACTTTAAAAGCTAAGTACCGAAAGTTTGAAAGGGTTTTTGAAAACGTTCCGGAAACCAAATTTTTTTTCGAAGCTGCAGGTACGAAGCTTTAGAAGACGCTGGATTTTATAAAATAATCAAAAGCTTCACATATGGAATCTCGAATTAGGAGATAATTTCCAAAACTAACAACCTTTAAGTACTAACAATTTTTAAGTACTACAGCTCCTAAAAATTTTTTTAGACCTTCTCCAAAACTTGTGATTTTTTTAAAGATAAAGGTAGGAACGTTTGCGCGATGCTCTATTTTATAAAATTATCAACTTATTGAAAAAATCGATCTTGATTTAGGAGATAATTTCCAAAAAATAAGGACGTAAGGATATAAGAATCTATTGGTATGACTATTACAGACATAACACATGAAGAGTTTACTTACGTTGACAAATCAATGTGATGACAGCATTGACAGCAGTAGCGGCCACGCCGATCCCTCCAATAATCAGGAATAATTTGGCTATCGGAAATTTATCGAAGGAACGCGGCGCTTTCGAGGCAGTCATCCTGGTAGAGACTTTCAATGTTACAATATAAGTCAATGCTCAAAGAAAAAAATGGCAAATCTACGATATTACAGCAGCTGTGCAAGTGCAAGCGTGCGTTTTATGATCAGCCACAGAGTGCTGCTGTTCGGGGTCCGCCGTGCTTATATGAGATGACATTGAGCGGCACTCAACATTGTGTAGATAAACCGATTGGTACCACCACCACGAGTTCGTTTTTCGGTCTACACTCTACAATATCTGCGCTTTTAAAAGCGCAACGCCCGAACGCTAGCTCCGCTGCGGCTATGAGTCGTCGGAAATTAGAGTAGAGATACGATGTTCTGCTGGTATCACTGACATCAGTGTGGTCCTAAATTTAGTCCTGGATGCGAGTTAAAGAGAGACACCAGCACTTGCTTGGTTTCAAGAGAGAAAATTTATTTGTGCGTGATGTCATGCGACCAACAGTTTGTTTGCAGACGCGGTGCGATTATAAGTTATAACTTGGTTATTCACGAGCGCATTAATTTTACGAAAGATGTAAAGGCTACAACCGTTACAGTAGTGAACTGTTATGACATCGTCAGCAAAGATTCGACGCAATCTTTTCGTGGTTTTGTACCGAGTTAGGTCTGGCATCGCATACTAACAAATACTTCACTGTTAAGACATTACTAAATAATTACTAAATATACATTTCGCCAGCGCAAGATTTACACTAATTAAAATGATTAAATTTTAAACATTATAAAAACATCCAAAACCGTTAGTCGTGCTCTTAGGACGTGTGTTAAGTATACCCAAAACAGCTTCGAGTGTTTCAACTGCCAAAAAATAAAGGGCCCGAGTGTTTCAACTGCCAGAAAATAAAACAGATAGACCGTAATGCTATAGTACTGTACTAGTAGTACTGAGTGTATATGACTTTATACACAAAGCGGAAGATAAAAACTGAACTGACCCGCACCCGTACAGAAAAAGTGATCGGAAAAATTATGCGCGTCAGTTCACTTCGGCCGCGTTACATTTCGGCCGCACATGATCACTTCGGCCAACATTCATTTCGGCCGAGGCTCACTTCGGCCGGCACTCACTTCGGCCGCCGCTCATTTCGGCTTTGGTACATTTCGGCCGTTTTCTTAGGTTTCTTAGGTTTCTTAGGTTCATAGGTTTCTTAGGTTTTCTTAGGTTTCTTAGGTTTCTTAGGTTTTCTTAGGTATTCTTAGGTTTGTTAGGTTCTTAGGTTTCTTAGGTTTTCTTAGGTTTCTTAGGTTTCTTAGGTTTCTTAGGTTTCTTAGGTTTCTTAGGTTTCTTAGGTTTCTTAGGTATTCTTAGGTATTCTTAGGTATTCTTAGGTTTCTTAGGTATTCTTAGGTTTGTTAGGTTTGTCAGGTTTGTTATTTTTTTAGGTATTTTAGGTTTTCTTAGATATTTTTAGATATTCTTAGGTTTCTTAGGTATTCTCAGATTTCTAGGTTTCTTAGGTTTCTTAGGCTTCTTCTGAGTTATTTTTTATTCTGTATCTAGGTTTCGTAGGTCATTCCTATTTTTTCTTAGGTTTCTTGGATTTGTTTGTGTGGGTTTTCTTGGGTTTCTTAGCCTTCGCCCTCGTGACGGTTGCCTTCAGGCATTCGTCCATGTTTTCTCCGTCTTCTTAAGGGGATCCCTATGAGATGAAAGTGGGTCTGGGAAAACATGAATAGGTTAAAAACAACTGAAAGATCATTGTTGCCATTGTTCTGACTGCATGCGCAAAGGGTTTGGCTACACAATGGTATGCTGCGATCTTGTCTGCGCTCTCTCTAGACAGAGCTATTCAAGAAACAAAGGAAAAACTTTGAATTCAACAGTCGAATGAGAAAGTTTTCCCAGATTAGATGTGATACACATCACTGGATGTGTTTTAGCCTAGAAAGCTTATATTCTTCAACATGCTAATAAAAAATGTGCTAGTTTACAAAAAAATCGAGAAAAACACTTGTTGAAAAGTGTTTTTTTAAAGTTTATTCAAACATGCTTTATTGGACTATGACAGTGTCTCGGTATATAAGCTTTCTAGAAAATAGCACACCGTCTGATACCGACTTTGAAAATATAGCAGGTTTCACAATGGAGTTATCGATTTTTAAAGCCATTTAACAAGTTTATGGAAAACAGCAGCTGAATGAAAGGCTTGCTGACTGGCCGGCAGCAATGTGTGCCAGAGCCGGCTACCCATGCCCGCGTTTTGCAAGATAGAGATCAGACAGAGCATAGCTTGAGAGGGAAGAATGAGCTTAGCTCCGGCCACAGGACAGCTTTGAGCTGTCCAGGTCTATGTGCCATGCGGCTGGCCATGGCTAGCCGATAACATCACTGCATTTACTTCGCCTCTGCTGACCCGCTCTAGTTTTTTTATTAATAACTTATGATCGCAGTACAATATAACCCATCGAGACATACTATTTGAAAGCCCGAAAAATTTCCTACAACCTGATGTTAATATTGATAACACATTTATATGAAATTCATCTCATAGCGATCCCCTTAAGGTAATGCGGATCATTTGTCGTTTTAATATTTTTTGGAAGGTTTCGCCTTGTGTCTGCAATATTGGGTTGTGTATTAATGCTGGCGATAAAGATTTCTCAATTTTGTTTAATTTTTAAAAGTTGCACGATGGGATGGCAAATTTTTAATGCAAGGCCATTTTTTAACCCTTTTTAGGATTTAAGTTTCCGACAAATTTTATATCGAAAGTAACGTTTTCTCTTAAATCTATCCAAAATTGGCTACGGCCGAAATGTATTGTGGCCGAAGTGATCGGCGGCCGAACTGAGTGACGGCCGAAGTGATTGGCGGCCGAAGTGAATGGCGGCCGAAAAACTTTGGCCGAAATGAACGCGGCCGAAATGAAAACGGCCGAAGTGATCGGTAGCCAAAATTATGTACTGTTGGGCCAGTCGCCATGGCAACCTACGAGTAGGCAGCCAGCGACAGTCCCGCTTCCGGTGTGCTGACTTACACCGAGTCGCACTCGCCGTCGAACGCCAGATCGACCTCGACTCAGGCAGCTTTCCGCCCAGCCTTACGTCTCGGTCAATCATCGGCCTCGACGTAGGCGGAGCCACGCCCCGGCTTTACATCTCGGCCAATCAGCGTTCGTTCGCTCGTGTTGGATCTGCCCAGTGCCGCATTAGGCATTTTCCCATGTTACGGCTCGATATGCCGTTCATTCTTATTCACTAGCTGATCATTCACTGTACTTTCACGACACCGCTCACATCGAGCCTTTGTGTTTTGGTTCTCTGTACTTTATTGCTATCCACAATAAAGCCTTTCCTCACTATCGTGAGCCTTTGTTCGCCTGCTGTCACAGTATTCAGAAAAAATATCGGACACATGAGAAAAAATTACGGCAGATTGCCGTCTAGAAAAATTTAATACCATCCGCCTCGCCGTATAAAACATTATCCGCCTCTGGTTAACCCGTTGACGGGCATTGGCGTCAGGCGACGACAAGGTGTTTGGGATTTTTTTCCCAGTGATCCGAAACAGTTAATCGGTATCCCATAGCACAAAAAGCAAAAAGGGACTTCGAAGCAGCAGTAAAAACCTAATTGAAGCCTTTGACTCAAGTTAATTACGAACGACAGGTCCGCAAAAATCGTTAATTTTGGACTTTTCTAGCTGTCGTAGGTCTTGCTAATTAATTAATTAGCGAATGAATAATTAAACCGGAGATAAATCCACAAGGTACACCTGAGAACGCTCTATCTGAAAACGGTTAACACGGACACTGTAGGTTGAACCACAGTCCGTGAAAAACGTGTGTCGTCGGCTGACACCATTGCCCATGAAGGGTCTTGAATCCACGGGCGGGTGCAATTTCGACATCAGCTTTTATAACGTATCCGGAAAGTTGCTGTCGGTTTGTGAGCAAACATGCGCCACACCGTTCCGGTTATCGGCAGCTGGCAAAAAGCGCTTCTGCGGATCAACTCCCCGGGCGGTCGTCAAAATAGTAAAATTGTCTCGAAGGTTGTCAGCCTTCAGAGTTCAGACAGCAACACGTTCGAGGAAACAGTGTGTATGACAATGTAAAATGGAAGCGCAACACTACGCTCTGACGCGTTTCCACCTACGTTTGCGATGCGTCTCTTGGATAAACCAAGCAAGTGGGGCTGGGTAGCTTTAAAAAAACATGGGAACTTTGACTTGACTCGGGCGATTGCAAACTAGAATGTTGCACACTGTACTGTGCACATTGGCGATGTGCACATTACTTCCGGGTTACTTTCCTACCGCTAGTGCATTTCAAAAGGTGATAGTGACCACTAATATCTGAATCAGCAACTATCACCAGTGCAGCTGGACTACCCCCGCCGCTTTTCCGATAATCGATAATGGCATTTGTAGCCACTGGTCAAATCCAGGAAACATAGAACCCCAGGCAATACAAGCAAACATAAAGGCGGGTTGGCGTGCCCGAAATGACGCAAGTGTTATGTTAAACTTTGTAAAGAGCGCTTCGTCCAGCACCATATGACTGTAATAATCTATATTTTATCAGTACAGTAGTAATGGTCAAAATGCATGAAAATGACTTTTGGTCATTTTTAATTTATTGTTGACCAGTGGTTAACTTGTTGACCAGTGGTCAACTTGTTGACCACTTCTATACTTCTGTTTTAAAGTACTTTTTTTGGGCTATTTAATGAAGTTGTTGCTTTTGTGTAATTATTTTTCGACTAGTTATTACAGAATTAAACGTTTATATGCTGTAGACTGTCCATGGGCATTGGCGTCAGGCGACAACATGGTCACCACGGCTGACCTATGGTCAGCACCATCTCATAAAAAATTCCCTTTCTTAATTGAATTTTTTCATCGGGAAATCCCGATTTTCATAAGGAAACTCGCACTCCTTCGGGTACCTCCCGCTGGAGGGTTAACAGCGAAAGTGTTTTTCACTAGATTTGTGACCCTTTTAGTTAGTTCGTTACACAGTTAACAGCTGAACTTGTTATGTCATGGACACTTCCATAATAAACGCCAATACTTTCAGGTTGATCCGCTGTAAACCTACTCCATAGCGTGGCTGCTGTCACGTTATGGGCGGTTATTTATGTAGGTTTGCGCTTTATAGAGCATAGGTTCCGTCGTTTCGGTAATGGTTTAGCCTGCTCCACCGATTTTCTAACACAAAACGTTTGTAGCCTGAATCATAGCCCCAATCGTTTCCGTGAACGCTCCGCATTGTAAATAATAATTTACGTGGTTCAGCGATCGCTCGTGCAGACTACAGAAAGCGGCAGATTACTCTGCAGGGACATCACAAACAGTATATCTGCCGCTATTTCAACCATGCATTAACTTCAATTGGGTGCTGGAATATGAACGAGCAAATTACACATATAATCTCGCTTCTAAAAGGCGCGTGAATGTTTCGAATGAATAGAACCGCCGGGGCGAAAACTTTTCGGATTACAAAATGATATCTTAATGGGTAGCCGTTACATTTCAACGGAGCCGGCGCTGCGGAATATGGCGGAAATTGTTGACGCTCGCAGTCCTTTCTAACGACCAGAATCGTTATGTGGCT